TGGCTATTATAGTTCCTAACATGAGAGAGAGACACTTTCATACCTCCCAACTCCAAGGAATTCCTTCTGCTTTTTCAGAAGCAGGAAGTGTTAATAACAGCATTTATTTTCAGTTTTCACAACTCATCTTCTTTGCTTTTGAACCACCAAAATATACACAGGTATAAACAAGTAATTGCATTAATTTTTTTAAAATCAAATTATCTCACGTTGCTTTTCTTAAATCTTGAAATATGGATATTTATCTTCCAGTAAAAAGGTAAGTTTTTCTATCTTGGGAATAAACTATTGATCTATAACCATAAGGAACTGCATTTCACAGACATCCCTGCAGTCTTCCTAGAGACAACTACCTGGCATTTTGGCAGTCAGCACTGGTTACAACACTGAACTTCACTTCTTCAAAGCCATTTGTTAGTAAGGGGGCCAAATAAACAGCCTTTATCATTGCAACCATCTGGATAAAGAATTGGCTGGATGGTCACACTCCAAGAGTCACAGTAAACGGCTTGATGTCCGAGTGGAGACTGGTGACAAGTGACGTTCCTCAGGGGTTGGTGTTGGGACCAGCGCTGTTTAACGTCTTTGTCGGCGACACGGACAGTGGGATGGAGTGCACCCTTAGCAAGTTTGCCAATGACACCAAGCTGCATAGTGTGGTCGACATGCTGGAGGGAAGGGATGCCATCCAGAGGGACCTGGACAGGCTGGAGAGGTGGGTCTGTGTGAACCTCACGAAGTTCAACAAGGCCAAGTGCAAGGTTCTGCACATGGGTCAGGGCAATCCCAAGCACAAATACAGGCTGCACAGAGAATGGATTGAGAGCAGCCCTGAGGAGAAGGACTTGGGGGTGCCGGTTGATGAGAAGTTCAACATGACCCAGCAATGTGCACTTGCAGACCAGATAAGCCAACCATATCCTGGGCTGCGTCCAAAGCAGTGTGACCAGCAAGTCAAGGGAGGGGATTCTGCCCCTCTGCTCCGCTCTGGTGAGACCCCCCTGCAGTCCTGCCTTCAGCTCTGGGGTCCTCAGCACAAGAAGGACATGGACCTGTTAGAGCGAGTCCAGAGGAGGCCAATATGATCTGAGGGCTGGAGCACCTCTGCTGTGAGGACAGGCTGAGAGAGCTGGGGTTGTTCAGCCTGGAGAAGAGAAGGCTGAACCTTAGAGCAGCCTTCCAGTACCTAAAGGGGCCGACAAGAAAGCTGGGGAGGGACTTTTTACAAGGGCAGGGAGCGATAGGACAAGGGGCAATGGCTTTAAACTGGAAGAGGGAACAGTTAGATGAGATATTTGGAAGAAATTCTTCACGGTGGGCGTGGTGAGGTAGTGGCACAGGTTGCCCAGAGAAGCTGTGGCTGCCCCATCCCTGGAAGTGTTCAAGGCCAGGTTGGATGGGGCTGTGAGCAACCTGGTCTGGTGGGAGGTGTCCCTGCCCATGGCAGAGGGGTTGGAACTAGATAGTCCTTAAGATCCCTTCCAACCCAAACCATTCTGTGATCTCTAAGAAACAGTAACAGAACTACAGTTAACTCTGCAAGGCCTCAGTACATCAGAAGGGAAAGAAATTCACTCTTCAGTGGTCATATATCTTGACTACGAGGACATGTTCTTTCTAATGAAAATTATATAAACAACTAAGAAATTCGATCTCCTCCTGTCAAAGGAAAAGAAAGCACTACTAGCAACCAAAAAAATCAAGAAAGGTGCCCCTAAGTTAGTTAACATGATATTTTGAAATAGGTTTTTCAGGTAGTAAGTCACAGATGAGAATTAGTTCTCTGCATTTTTGTGCAATTCTAAGTAGCAGAAAATTCCTTAACTCAGTATTACGTGTACCATTTCAAACTATGCAGTGGTACATCTACCTTAAGACACAAAGTATTTTAAAAAAGAGAAGCTCACGATTACATGATTGAAATGCTATTTTATAAGCAATATAAGCTACACAGCAGCTTTAAAAACAACCAGTTGAAGTATGTCATTCTATAATTAGGGTTTTGCCACAAACTTCATAAGAATTAGAATCTCATCCATTAACTTTTGCCTAGCAGTTGCTTTTACTTTCTCACAAAGAAATACATGGTATAAGTAACGGATGCCACGTAAAATACTACTGGCTGCTACCTTTTGAAAAGGCTTCATTGCCTTTTGTATTTGATGCTCTCTGAATAAGTCTAAATAAGTTTGAGACTTGAAAGATTTGAAGCATAAAAAGAAAATTTTCTAAAGTACTTTCTTGGACAACCTGGATTAAAAGAGCAAGTTGGGAAGAAAAAAAAAATGCCTGAAAATCTAATTATTTATCTATATCAAGTACCATCTAGGACACTGGAAAAACACTAGCCATCCTACTTTCCTTTATATTTTTTTCAAAACTAAGATGGGAGATTCTGAACACTAGAATGGATTTTTGAACAAACAGATCATTGTAAACATGTCAAGTAAAAAGGCTCAGATTAAACATTCAATAGCTCTGAAGGAGGAAAATGGCAAGAAGTATCTTAGATGTCACCAAAAGTATGAGATCTACTCATAAATAAAGTCTGTTCTGAAGACAGAAGAATAATGTTATACATTTTAAAAGCACAAATACTTTTCAAAGAACTTGATTCTCTTAACACTTCATAACAAGTGGTATGGTTTGATACTTACATAGACTCTTGTACTGAACACTGCATTCTATAGACAGCATAACAAGAGCCAGTGCTTTTGTATCTCATGTTTTCGTTAAGAATATGCTTGTGTCATACATAATTCTCTAAGCATCACTTAATCTTAACCTATCTGAACATATCTTGAGATATTACTGAGCAGTCTGTACAAACTGGCAGTTAAATGTAAGTCAAGGAACAGAAACTCTCTTACTCTAGAGCTGATTATTTACTTGTCTGAAACAGCTTAAGTAATGAAATTTGGCAGTCACTTCTCCCAACTTCACAAGCAACCTCTTCTACACTTGCTGTCCCAGAAAACTACAAGTTGAACTGAAATTACACCTTACAGTGGTCTAGACTGATAGAGCCAAGAATTAAGCTTGTATGTATTACTGCTTGCTCAACTTATTGCCTCTGGCCACCAAAGGCTGAAGGACCAGTTGTTCGGGGTGTTCACATTTGCATGGAAGATCAACCCTGGGAAACATCCCAGATGTTTCCTGTTAGGTCTGTGCTTACTAACACAGAGGTAGAAAGACATGGGTAAAGATAAAGAGTCTTTGTACTGAAAATGCAATTGGCAACTCAGCGAGATAGATATGGAGAGTTTCTAGGCCTATAAAACAGAGAATTTGTGCAAGCAAATTCTAGTTACAGCTAGATCTTCCCTTTTATAGGCAAAAAGGGAGAATTTGGAGGGATGGAACAACTCCCACCCAACAGCAAACACATAGGAAGGCAAGTCAAAGACAAATTCAGAGAAAAAAAAAAAAATTAAAGAACCGTTTCCAAGCCTGGAAAAGGTTAAACAGTAGATTTACCTTAAACCAGGTAGTACAAAATAGAAGGTTCATTATCTCATCCATGGTCTTTCAACGCTCGATGCTAGTATTCTCTTCAAGGTTGTCCAGTGTATCTATAAATGGGAGGGTGAATATGGGAGGAGAGCTATGCTTTGTATGTATTCTATCTCTAGCTGGAAAGCATCAACTTGAATGACAATGTAATTTATCATTTACAAAAATGCTTCATTATACTACAGTTTTAACTACACAGTTTTATGTTTGTAATAAAGTTGCATGGAAAGCATCTGTTATAATTTTGATTAGGTCTGCCATTCTCTACATTCAAGAGGACATTAAATAACTACTCAGTTGTCCAAAACAAGTTTAGAAGTAATTAAGAAATATCCTTTATAAAAGGAGAGAGTGACATGCCCACAAAACAAAATTAATAATCCCTCAGAAAGGAGTATAAAACTGTTAACTATCATCACTAACATTTAACTCGCCAAAATTCAAAATATTGTACTAAGACTTGCTGATGAACTAACTATGGGAAGACCACACAACCATGTAGGTAATAAAGGCAGGGAGAAACAGAACTATACACCCCATATTACAGAGCTGCTATCAGTTCTAACCATGTTCATAAGCCTCAAATATTCTGTTTATGAGCAAGATAACAAGTTTCTTGAGATCCAATATTTAACAAGGAGTTACTGCAGTATTTATTCTGGTTTTGACGATTTTGAAGACAGAAGCCGCAAAGAACCAAAAAGAGCCAAGTTGTGTTCTACACAAAGCACATATTGAGGAAGAGATTTCAATAATCCAGCACTCTGGAAATACAAAATCATCAATCAGTAAAACAACTAACTATGCCAACCATCAACAATAGCCATATGGAGCAAAGTACTATACTTTCAGCCCATACCATTGACCCTGAAAAGCCAAATACACAAGAGCCAAAGGCTAATCCAACTAGAAATCAAGGAAGGAGCATTTAATGAACAAGTATTTGAAATATGAGTGGATACTTCTACTGTAATAATAATGATGCTACAAAGCAAAGTTTATTACTAAAATATTTGAGGATTTTTGTTCATTTCCTAGTACTATATGGAGAAAAATAAATAATGTTACCGATAAACCAGGTACTTTTTTTTTTTTTTTTTAAAAAAAAAAGGGAGATCAGCACTTGAAGGGACACACATGAATTTTTAAAATGTAAAAGAAAATTAAACATGGAAAAGTAGTAGTGGTGTAGAAAGAAATGGAACATACACTGCTAGGACTGCTTATACTATCTCAGTTTTTCTTTGTGATCTTTTAAACAAACTGCAAAACTAAGAATGGAGTTTTCCATCTACTGATACATAAGGGAAAACGGAATGCTAGCAGAAGCAGTGCATACTTTCTCATAATCTCTGCATTAGGAAAAAAGAGAGGAGGGTTAAGCAATACACATTTTAAAATATATATTTAAACACAAATAAAGTATTTCAAGTCTTACATTGTCTTAAAACGAAGCAAAACTTACAAAGCAAGGGAACGCATACCTGATATACCCTGAGACTCTGCCTGTAGATCACAGTACCACAGTCTGTTCACTGGATCACACCCTTCTCGGATAGACAGCAAGACATATCGACCATCATCCGATACCTGTAAGAAGTTACAGAAAAATCAAAGACAATTCATCCTTTGGGGAAAAAAAAACAAACTTGAAAAGTTAGTCTCTAAACCCCTAGCAAAAAATAAATTGATGGTACAGTTAGTTGACTGAACAGATGTGTATGGAATATGAGAACTCACCTCGAACCCACACTCACCACTTACACCAACAAATAACATAAACATAGTCTGCTGACATTTCAGGAGATCAAAACCAAACAGCATTATCTGTTTATTTCCACCATGAATTAAAAAAAGAAAGTTTCATTCCAGCTAAAAAGGTGTCTAAATGAGTCAGGGTGGGGATCTGCTCCAGCGTGTGCCTCCGTGGGCTGCCGGGGGACAGCCGGCCTCACCGTGGGCTGCCCCAGGGGCTGGGGGGAATCTCTGCTCCGGGCCTGCAGCACCTCCT